GTTTTAAACTGTCATACAATTTTTTTCATCGATAGTCTGTAATTGGAATCATAACTCTTATTTATTCAAATTGTATTAATATGTAAAGAACAAGTATAACATATATCATCGTTAAATCTTATCTTATAAAACCAATGAAACTTCAAAATCGTTAAAATTTATGGCTCCCGCCGCAATGCGCGGGTACACAACTAGTTTTATTTAAATTGTTATATGTCATATGTGCCGACACTCTTAATGTTTAAATCTTATTACCTTAGGATGATTTATAGACTTGGGTCACAATTTAGAGACCGTGGATGATTGTGGCTTGGTCTATCAAAGGCCCAATTTTTACTTGAAAGATGAGGACCGATTACGAACCGTCTAAAAACCGTGGGAACCAATATAAATTGTTCGTAGAGTTACACTCGGTGTGTAGGTGGTGTTGCACTACCTTAGAAAATCATTTGAGTTATCTTTGATGTTTTACGTTTTACATCCTTAGGCTTGGGTTATTACTTTAAATAACTTCTATACTCGGAGTGTTAAGTAGTACGGACTTGGAGGTCAATTATTTTATTAAGTGTTAGTGGTGAGTTCATCTTAACCCTTCTCTATGAAATTTACATTATTGTAAGAAGCTCGTAATTACCCTATGCCTATAAATTTCATATATTTACTTGTTTAGATGAAATGAGCATCATCGGGCCAAATGAACGAACTTGGGTAATTTCGTTTATCGTGGTAAGTTGTGTTTAGATAATTATCCTAAATCACTTGGTAAAATACTCATAGAGGTTGTGGATGGCATTTTAGCTCTAAAACACTCATGCCCTTAGTTTATCTCACTTGAGCTTGGATACACTCGAAGTCACCCTGTTAATGGGAATACTAAGGTGTTTTTGGCACTGTACTTAGGTACCGAACTGGGATTTAATGAACCTAAAGGTGTGCATAGTCGTGTTATTTGTTTGTGTGAAAGATGGTATAAGTTGGTGATAGGCATTGTGATTATTATGTAATCACCAAATCATCCTCTCACTTGCACTCGGTAATAGACATTGTGATTATTATGTAATTACCAGTGCATGTATATCGTTTTATTTTTATTCGTGGGTATGATGATGTAAATTGGTGATAGGCATTGTGATTATTATGTAATCAYCAAATCATCCTCTCACTTTCACTCGGTAATAGGCATTGTGATTATTATGTAATTACCGAGGTAAATAGCTTATGATCACGACTGACTAGGTTGACGTCGATGGTGTTGAACCTGTAAGTGATGCTTTGTAACGTTGATTTATGACTTACTTCGTGCCCGTCATAACCAACGGTAAATCGGGTCTCCCCCGTCATCTTCGGATGCTTTATTATTCCACTTCGTGTTATTCAGGTCTTGCTGACCCTTTTCCTGTTTAAAGTCATATCAACTAATTACGTGTATATTTTTATATATATGTTCCTTTATGTTTACGTAATCTATTTTGTTTGGACTCACTAGGCGTAAGCCTAACACTTTCTGGTTTTGATTACTTATCAGGTTCCGTTAGTGGCGGGGCTTAATAGGGTCGAAAGAAACTGTAACAACCCCAAATCCATACATTGCATATAACACATATTTCATACATAGAATACATGTTTTCCCCACAAAGGTCCATAATACAAGAGTCTATAACGTGAAATACATAACTCAAAAATTCAAAAAGTACATGCTCTTGTATCCTAGCATCTATGCTCCAAAAACATAGCTAATTAAGATCTTCACAC